ATCATTTGCTATTTTCACAGAATTCTCTCGTCTTTTCGAACGAAGCTCTTCAAAAGAACGTCTGCCGAAGCGAACGATATGCACTGCGTAAACGAACAGTAAGACAGTAAGATGGTAAAGTTTCTAAATGAGTAAAAGAAATCACTGAAATCGCGTTTCGTGAAAATAATATTTATTCGTAATCGAGCGACAATTCGCGAAAATTTCGTGATATTCGAAGACCGCAGAGATTTCCGTTCTCGAGGGACGATGTGCGCACAAAGGAGACTGGCTCGCGGCAACGACGTGCGTCGTTTCCGTTACACAGCCCTGTAGACACCTGGTCAGTTGCCGTGTTCCGTGCTTAGTCGCGTGAATTGCCCGTACGTGCATCTTCTATCAATCTATCAATTTTACGACTCGCGTCTCCCGCGGCCTCCGCGCCGCGGGAAGAAACGGTGTTGAGTTTCCTGCGGCCCGTCAATTATTTTCCACTGTGGAGATCACAATGGGCCATTGATTAAACGGATAATCAAAATGATTATCGCCTCGCGCCCGTTAACTCCTATGCGCGCGAGCAACTTCGAGAAATGGCCAAACAGTTATGTGATCTTTCTTTTCCTCTTACTACAACGCGCGAGTTGAGTTGATTGATTTTAGAGAAATCATCGGGTATTCGACGCTTCGAGTTTCATTCCATTTGCTTCCTGGTAGCATTAAAATAGTTTTGACAAAAGTGACCGTTGATTAACTCGAAGTGATTCTGTTTTAATAATGCAATAATGTTCGTAGTTGATGCGGACCGCAGTGCGTGGTTTAGATTTGAGAAAATCAAAATTAAATGTAACTTTCAAAATAAGATATCTAGGATCAGATATCCTAGATTTTAATGGGCTTCAGTGATGCCATAAAAGTGACAGCAATTAAATCATTTTAAAAAGGATCTTAGAGAAAATAATTATTAAAATCATTCACGCGTGTCGATTGTAATAGCCATCCTCATAAAAAAATTAAGAAGTAATATTTTTACGTAAGGAGCATTTATCTGCCACTAAAAGTTCGATGGTATTATTGTGACAGTCGACAGTGGTCGGGAGACGAAGAGGACGAGGGCACAACAGGTCACGTAACAACGGAGCATCCTCTGGCGGAGGCGACAATTCCCTTGGTCTCCCACTCGCGTCTTCAAGAGCAGCCCTCTAACTTGAGTGCCAATCTCGTGACCGCTTCCGGGACCCAGAATCCTCCCCGTTCGAGCGCGCAGAGCCAGCAAGAGAGCGTTCTGCAGAAATTCAGAAAGAGCTTCTCCTTAAGGTTCCATAAAAAAGGCAGCAAAGAGAGCAATGAGAGCGAGTGTCCGGCCGAAGATAACGATGGATCCGGACCCCTGGACGAGGAGGAGGAGAGGGAACCGTTGTCCGTCACGGAACAGACACCTCAGCACAAAGAAGACACAAATAACGACCAGAAATTCCGGTTAGTTCCAATTGTTATTCCTATAGATTATCGCGTGATCGCGTTCATGC